TATAAAAGATGTATGCATTTACTATGAAAAAATTATAAATAAAGTTCTAAGGTTAAAATACTAGTGATTATATATTTGGGAAATTTCCAAAAATAGAAAATATTCATAACAGATGACTATTTTTTTTTTGTAAATTGAATTGAATTTTTTATTTGTTTTAGATTTTAATATTTAGAAACCCGCCAATGACAAAGAAGGAATTAGGAGAAATTCTCGCATCATTGTAGAATATAATGGAAAATGTTCAAAGGCAGACACTGATGAAAGCAGAAGCTGACAAATTTGCAGAAAAATAAGGGGAGCAATTCTTAATTCAGACTTTAGGTTAATAAATGTTAATTCATCTCATTTTGATCGCATTCTTTGAGGTACAAATTACATTATTTTCTGTGAGTTATATTCACTTAGTACGTTTCTGAATTGACCGTATCTTTTAATACACAAATTAGTCGCACTAATCGAGGGATATAGATATATGAATAATGTTTTCTGATAATCCAATAGAGTGAAATGATTTCGTTGATGATAAGCCTCACCAAAAATGAATTTATTAAATAACTTTAGATTCTATTAGTATATATATATATATATATATATATATATATATATATATATATATATATACCAAGTATATGATAGGTGTATACGGAATAAATTCCAATAACAAACAATTACTATTATTAAAAGAGTGCTCAATACAGAGTAGAGCAGATATAATTATTTATTTATAAATTATAACATATTTATTATAATTTTAAATAAAAATTATTTAATATATATATATATATATATATATATATATATATATATATAGCAGTAATCCTTCTTTCATGCACATTTCATTGAATACGACAGACAAAAGTGTTTTTATTTAGTTTTTTTTTTTTTTTTTATAATTTCGCATGCGATCTTTTTTTTTCTTTTCGGATGATAAATTATGTAAAAACTGTCCGAATGTTCTTTTTACCCGAGCGCTTTCGGCCCTACATTTAGCCATTTTCAAGGATTAAATATTTTAACTGTTAAATAAGAAATAGTCTGTTGTATATATGTTTTATCAAATTTTTCATTTTTCAAAACAGGGTCATAATATTGTATTTTTTTTTGTTTCTATTAATAAGGCTTCCATTATTTTATACAATATATTATATATATATATATATATATATATATATATATGGATAGATAGAGATAGAGCGTGGGAGAGAGATGTGTGTGTTTTTGTGTGTTTTTGCGTGTTTGTGCGTGACAGGAAAATGGCAAATAAGAAATGTTTATAAATTTGGGATGTTTCACTTTCATCTAAACTTCGTCAGAAAGTAAAATCTGGTGGGAAATTTTAAATTCTTCTCTATATTCTATTTTTTTATGAAGCTTTCGTAAATGAGAAACATTGTAATCCATATTTAATGTATATTTTATTCTAATTCATACACACACACACACACAGAGAGAGAGAGGATCACGTGAGGATTATTCCCTGAACATTACAATCTTCCATTTAAATCAATGTACCATGAATATCTATCCTTCTTATCCAAGTAATCAACTCTTCCTGTCACACCTTTCATTCTTATCACACCTCATTCATGGTATCCATTTTAAGAGCCAATGTCCATATTCAGTGGTGTTTGGATTAGGTAAGTTTAACGCCTTCAAGACGTTCTCATGACGGGAAAGAACATGTCCAGTTTTCCATCAAAATGGCTGATGCTAACCTCCTTGAGAGTGACTCGTAGCACCTCCTCAGCCTTATATTCTCGGCTGACCTGAAGTGGGATGATTATATACGACCCAATGCTAGATCTGCTGTTAAGATTGTTGTTTCGTTTGTCGTGCTAGACAATGCATCTCCTGAAACTATCTTACATATTTAAAAAAAATATATCTTCCTTCATACTTTGCTGCCACTTATGATTTTGTGTTCCTGCAGTATATTTTGATATCTTTGATCAAATGCAAAGAAGAATCAGCAATATTATTAGTTCTGAGCTGGCGTCTCGGTTTCAGTCACTTTCCCACTTTCCCTGTGTTTTGAAAATAAATATTTTAACGATAATTGTTCGGATGAACTCTTCGCCTCCCGCTCTCCACAAATGAATTGAATTGTAAATATGGGGACTAGTTAGTATTTCCATAGAGACAATGAGGTATTATGGTGGATGTTGTAAGAAAGGTACGTAAGAATGTGTTGTTTTGGTGTATGGAATATTTTCTGTACGATTGGGTCAATATTTTGTGGCTAGCAAAGTTCTAGCTAAGACAGAAAAAGACCATCCTTTCCCCAACCCCCATTTCTGCCTTGTGCCACATTTCTGTGTATTAAACAGAATAAATGTCACTCTTCGCATCCCCCTCTCAACAGACAATGAATTGTACATATGGATAGTATTTAAGATTTTCATAGAGACAATGAGGTATTATGGTGGTTGTAATAAGAAAGATGAGGAGGCACGGTGGAGTAATGGAGTTTTAGTGGCTTTATTGCCTTGCATATTATAGAATTATATGTACTGAATGAAAGTAATATTGAAAAACCTTAAAAGACGATGCTGTAAATATTCTTTTTTTATAATATCTGTTCACTGACGAATAATAGGTATTCTGCTAAAATTTCAATGTTTTGTTTCGTCTTGTGAAGATTTATATTATACATACCAGTTTGGCGTGCCTGTGTTAGATTCAGTGGTTAAAAACTTTCAAGGAAAAGGACAAGTATGAATCCAAAATGTCTTGGGTATTTAGCTAGTAACTCTGCGCCGTGAAAACGTAAGTTCTACAGAAAGCACAGCCGTCGCGCGTAATGGGGTAGGGCTCTGTCTCGATAGTCCCCTGATATTCTACAAGGTTAACACGCATACATGCTTATTATGCTTGCGTATCATGAAACATTTTCCCAGAAAGATTTATCAGATAATATAGCATGATCTATACATATTCAAGTTCTTTGCGTTTTCCCCTCTAATTGCTAAGCTTTCTCATAATCCATATTTTCTTTCGAAGCCTACTGGCCTACTGAAGAAAGTAGGCATTCTACTTTGCCCTAGGGAGAACATTATTCGTTTCTCTTTTTTTTTTAAATAGGGCGAAAGATTACCTTAACGAATTCTATATGTATTCACTTCATCTTTAATTCTGTAAATACATACATAGGTGGTTGAATTAGATGAAAAGATGAAAGCGACCAGGCAGAATTTTCAAATTAGGAGGCAAATATGAATGAAGAAAAGATTATCGTAAATTACGACATTTAAGTCAGAATGACATATCCATCCTTCTGATGTCTTCGTTGATGTTTTTTATTTACTTAAAAATGTAACTTTTTTCCTCCTTTTTATTTAAACCGGCGTTATTACAATTCTTAAGAAATCGTCATAATAAGGACCTTATATTTATCAGCAACTATTATCCTAACAAACTCCTTACTGTTGTCCACCAATGAATAATAAAGAATAAGCAACAGGAATATACCACTCATACACATATCCATAATCAAGATTCGTCAGGTGTATTGCGACATATATGATTCTTTTGCATATCCATTTTTATTACAAGTATAACATGCATATCTCGTGTTTTTTATTACCAAGGGTATTCAGTATTTGATATGATACATTTCAAGAGTATTGCTTTTTCTATAAACATCATTGTTAGTTATCATTGATTTGTATTTATGTATATATGTTTCTGTATTGTGTCAGTGATTTTTTTTTACTGTATATGCTCTCGTATAAGACAACTTAATGTATTGTGCAACCCCCGATTATTTTGCACCAGAAATGGATTATTTTCTTAATCTCTTCAAAAAATGTATAATTCGAGTCCTCTATGTTTTTCTATAAAAAAAACTATCGTAAAACTTGCACTATATTCGATTGTATAACATATTTTTGTACATTTTCTTTTCACATACAGTTTTCTGGTTCTAAGGTTTGTTATTTAATATAACGATTATGAAACTTAATATCTAAATTTTTGAATTTCCTCTTTTGTGTTCTTGTTGTGTTTATAGGTAGAGAAGTAGACATTTGTTGGAATTTGGAAATGAGCTCTGATCCCTTTTTTGGAGTTTAACTTTATCTGCAAAGGTAATTATTGCTATTTTCTGCTGTAGGCAAATGTTACGTTTAATTTGTTTTGTAGGATGGTTCTGTTTTTTTTTCTATTTTCCATGTTAATGTCGATGCTTTTCTGTTTTTGTTATGAGCTGCCAGAAATTCGTTGAGGATGGTTTTCAGAATATATAAATGTAAATCTCACCACAGAGGGAGAAGAGACTTGAGGTAACTGAAATGGGGTTCGACAGAAGAGAATGGTGGGGATCCCATGAAACGACCATGTGAGCAACGGCGAAGTTTTAGTGAAAATAGAAGCAAAACGTAAACATGTAATAATTAGAATCAAAAAGAAGCATTTGAAAGTTGGCTTAGAAAATTTGACGCTAAGATCAACTGAAGTGTGAGATAAGCAGTGCATTACCTACATAACCAAAATGTCTAAATAGTTTGCAGAAAAAGGGGTTAGAACTGATTGCAGAAATGCAACTTTGCAAAGAGCTACAAAGGACAGGGAGTGTCAGGTGGAAGAAAAGTCAGTCAGTTATGTGCCATGCGTGATACACGCTTAGGCGATCATGTATCTTTCGATACATAACTGACGAGGCATATTTTATTTCCCGCAGTAGGTTGCCATTTCATTTTACAGTAGACAACTTGCTATCTATTGCACAATACATTAAGTTGTCTTATACGAGAGCATATACAGTAAAAAAAAATCACTGACACAATACAGAAACATATATCTAATGTCGTTTTGTGACGTATTTTTTAACGTCAAAAAACGACATTATTACGTCATTCTTTTGCACCAACCTAACAGAAGAGAAAGTAGTAGTAGTAGCAGTAGTAGTATTATTATTAGTAGTAATAGTAATTGTTGTAGAAGTGGAAGTAATAGAAGTTCAAGAAGAAAAGAGATTAAAAAACTTGATATTATAAGGT